TAAGAATGTGCCAAAGAAAGAAAAAAGGTGCATGGGATATATACAGTATACAGTGCATCCACATATGACAGCTTTTTTTTTATAGTAGGATTATTATATAGGGTTCTTGCACATGTTCCCTGTAGTTTGGCTTTTATTATGGCTTTTGGTGTCATTGGCTTCTATATCTGATGATTAAAAAAAATACCTTCATAGATGTCTGTTACGCTACAGCCTTTTTCAGTTTTTATGGCACTGTTGGACTTCCATACAGTGGCTCAGCTACCCCAAAGTGACGCATGCGCAGTGTGCGCATAACGTCATGGCTGACAGTAGCTGGCCAGGCTGTGCAAAGAGTTTGAAAGGTGTCATTTTGGACTTATGTGGAGTTTTGTATGACAGCGGGGAAGGCGACGGAGTTGCCATCCCTGGTTCTATTGAGGCTGTAAAAAGGTGAGTGTTCGTTTCTATGTTTGCGGTTTTATTTGAGGTTTAAGCAGCAGCAGCAGCAGCAGCTTATGGAAAACTAAGTTGCTGATTGTGTGAGCATATGCATTCTGCACTAAGTCATTTATGCAAACAAAACAAGAACAGGTTTTGTTCAAATAGTGTTTATCCAGGTTTATTTAATGTGCTTCTTTTTTTGTCGCAGACTTAAGGAATCAGACCTGCAGCTGCGATTCTGCACCAATGAGACTCAGGCAACTAGAGAGAAGTTCGTCGCAAAACTGCAGAGGTTGGGCTTTGACATTTCTGTATGTGAGGTCTTCCCTCCTGCGCCTGCAGCCATCTCAGTGCTCAAGGAGAGAGGTTTAAGGCCCCACCTGCTGGTGCATGACGGTAATACACTTAACTCATTGTATTATGAAAGCCTTTGACCTGTGGTTATAGGAAAACTTTCTGTGTGATGGAAACTATGGACACCCAATTTACAATGCTGATTGCTGCATCCTCCTATCCTTAGGATTTTCACGTGCATATTTCAAACTTTGTAATGTTTGAGGTTCCATTTGTGCAAAAAAATGTGTTGATGGTTGTTGTGAAGTGCCGATGTGTTTATCTGACATACTTATGTTACAGAAGCTATATGTAATAGGTTTTTGTTTATATATCAGATGGATATGTTGTGTCCATATGAGGTTCCATTAGTGCCAAAAATGTGTTGATGAGTGTTGTGACGTGTCCATGTGTCTACCTAAGGTTTAAAAAAAAAGGCAGATTTCAGCAATTTCTTAGTATTTAGACCACATATATAATGAACCCCTCCTGCTCTTATAATTTACATTTTTTAGCTTTCAATTCCATCCATCCATCCATCCATTTTCTGTCACGCTTATTCCAAGGTACACACAGGACATGTTGCCAGTCTATCGCAGGGAAACACAGAGACAAACAGCCATTCACTCACACCTAAGGAGAATTTAGAGAAGTCAATTAACCTAACAGTCATTTTTTGTGAATTTGGGAGGAAGCCGGTGTACCCGGGGAGAACCCATGCATGCTCAGGGAGAACATGCAAACTCCATGCAGAAAGATCCCAGGCCGGGAATCGAACCCGCAACCTCCTTGCTGCAAGGTGGCAGTGCTACCCACTGTATTTCTTTTTATCTTTAATGTGACATGGACACAAAAAAAAAGGGTTAAAATTGCTCCTTATTGAAGTTTCACAAATCAGAGAAAGGTTTCAAAAATCCCAAACCTGATTTTAGTTATTCTACAACTAGTTTAGAACAATCTAGACCAGGTATGATCTGTCTAGGTGTTAATAAAGTTGCTGAAGGGAGCAAAAAATTAAGTAGAATCGCCCTTTATTCATTTCCCGAATCGGAAGCTAGAACCAGAATTCAACCTCAGCTTGGTCCAAGAAGATCTGGTACCAACAACAGCAGCAGAAAGCCATTCAACAGTGTAAAAGCAGTGCATGACGACGTGAGTAGACAACAGTGAGAATGACGGATTTAAAAGCAAAGGGAGACCAAAGAGGAGAACTACAGGCTGTAAGAGCAAAGGGAGACAACAGGCTGTAACGACGGAGCAAAACGACATCACGTGACAACAGGAGAAGATGACACATTCCAAATGGTCAAACAACACACTGTGAGGAAAAAGTGAACAACTCATGATCTGCACATAATACTTCACATGGACACAATACATATGGACACAGCATATGAACATAACATATCCATCTGATGTAGAAACAAAAACCTATTACCTATACAGCTTCTGTTACATAAGCACGTCAGACATTTCAACACATTTTTGGCACAAATCGAACCTCATAGTAATTAGGCTGTTATGCTGCCTGCCAATCAGCATAACTGCTTGAGAAAATAGTTTTAGAGCACATTTGCCTGCTTACTTGCATATATATATGAGAAACAGATCTGTCAGTGCTAAGACCTGTTAATTTTACAATAACTGGTATATGCGTTCCTTTAGGTATGTGTGTCAAGGTAGAAATGCATATAAAATGCTGCAACAGTGCTCAGACTGAGTCAATCTACTGTTTAGTATATCAAAGCGAGATCACACATCAGGCTTAAATTGGAAGCAGCTGGACTTTTCCTCCGTTTTGCTAAAAGAGTGTTGAAACATCTCCAGAAGTCAATCAGTTCTGGCAGCTGGTAAATATTAACAGAATCAATGACCAAGTTTGAGAGGTAACTTATAAAGAAATATGAGTGAAATGTTGAATTCAGTTACAAAGTAAAATATAAGGTTAAAGGGTAAAATACAAGCTTAAAAGTGGCCTTTTTTTGTGATATAAAGGAGATTGCAGATTATATTTTTGTTATATTTTTTGCTTCTTTGTCATTAAGATTGGTCAAGGGTGGGACCATAACAATTTTTCGGAATTTGTCAAATTTGGCATTTCACAAGAGAGAGCTAAAGGTAGAATGATCATGTAGGGACAGAAGTAGCCACGACTGTGATTTGGTGTTACTTAATTAAATAAATTTAAGGAGTTTATTCATGAATGCTTACAATAACTAGATAGAGGGGGTGTTGGCCTAGCGGTTAGAGCAGTGCACTTGTGCTCTAAGAAGGCTGCATGTACCCTGTTTGATCCCCACAGCCTGCACTCTGGCTCTCTGAGCAAGACCCTTGACGCCACACCGCTCCCCGGGCGCCGCACAGTGGCAGCCCACTGCTCCCCAAGGGGATGGGTTAAATGCAGAGATAAATTTCTTCAATGCATTAAAAAAAAACAACAGGGTTCTTTTATTTAACCCAATAAACATAAAATATCAAAGGTACAAAATGGATCCAAAAATGAGGTGAAAGAAACAAAATCTACTCAAAATAACCAGTAACAAAACTAACTTAAACAAACTGACCTGCTTTTTTAAAACAAAGAGGAACTTAAATAGTGGCTGATCAGTTCACTAAAGAAACACATGGGGCAAAACATACACAAACCTACGGTAACTAAACCTAATGAAGCAAAACCCCATTTCCCCCCATAGCACTGATGTGGTATAGTCCAAATT